TAGGTGTACCTTTAGCCCAAATAGGAAAAATTAGGATTAGAAGTTTAATTCATATATTATTGTTATTAGATGAATTAAATGAAAGAGTTAGAAGAATTAAGAGGGTTAGTATATGTATTAATACCTAAAATGAAAAATTCACCTAGCTTAGGCTAAGGAAAATTTCGGCTATGTATGAAGTTTTAGAGGAAAAAATTAGTTAACCATACCTTTATTTAAATTGGTCATTTTATGGTTGACTAAATTTATTTTATGTTTTTAATATATGCAATTATGTGTTTATTGCATGGTTGTCTATGTTTATGGAAGATATGAAATGAGTAAATTGATTGGTGCAATTGTTAGTATAGGTGCCCAAGATCCAACTATGTATGGATGGGCTTGAGTTAATGTATCATTGAATTATTTATTTTGATAATAATAAAGAAGTCATTCTGTTAATTCTTATGTTTACATATTCAGTAGAATTAGATAGAAGTCCTTATGATATGCATTTATAATAGTGATTGATCGAAAGATGTGAGACAAACACTAATGCACATAAATGATATCATTAAATATCCCAAGTCATAGCATTATCAAGAATGGATATTGATAATATACGGATAGACTTGTGAATGTTATGCTTATGCTATATGATAGCAGTAGGAGATCTCACACCAATTGGCATGGTGGTGTTAAAGCAAGCACTTAAGTGATTTATGTTAAAGAACATATCACTAGACTTGACTCGTCATGAGAACACATTTGATTTTAGTCTATAGGAATCTCATACAAGATGGGTACAAATGGTCCTTAGACTTGAAGTCGTCATAGTTATCTTATTAGAGGACTTATGCACTTTGACAATCATTTCGATGGATCCATTAATGGGTTGCACGTGGGTGATTCGTTAGGTGCACTAGGAATCCAATAAAGATAGGTGTATGACTAAGATAGGACATTTCATTCCTTATATGCTAAAGGAGTTATCACATTACACTTCGATAAATGTCCACTCAAGAAATCTATGGCCATAGTAAGAGTACGTCAATAGAGCATAGTTGGTCTACTCTAAGAGCTAAGACATTTGAGAATTGAAAAAAACTTATATGATCATAATCGAATAAGACTAATAACCAAGTTCGAGATCACACTCGTGATAAGTTGACATGAGGCCCGAATTGTATGGTAACCATGCTCGTGAAAGGTAATAATGGATTAACTAATCCTTTTAGAGAATTAGATAGTTATGATGTCTTGCTAGAGACTAATCTTGATTTATGTATCAATAGATAAAAGAGGAGTCTTTTATTCTTGATACATTGCCAACATATTTAGGAGCTTATTGAGTCACACACATAAGTTTAAGCATTCACATTATAAATGAAAAGCAAAGATATTGAGAAAAATTACCAATTATAAAAGGTTTCTTATTTTGGAAAGAGTTTCCAAAATGGAAAGTTTCCTAAAATGAAATTTTTTTTATTTCAGAAGTTGGTTTTCTAATTTAGAAGTTAGTTTCAAATTTGGAAATAAAGAACCTAAAAGGAAAAGAGTTTCCTAATTTAGGTTAAAGGATATTTTGAGAAATTGATTCCTAATGTGGATCCCACTAAAATAATCTAAGAATATTTATTTAGATAGTCCAAATAAATTAATTGGGCTAAAATAGTTTTGGCCCATTATATTTAAGTAAAAACTTTGCGATAATTTTGGTGGGAGGATGAACATCAAACTTTCAAAGATAAACATTAAACTTATTGGATAAGGTTGAATGTTTTAAAGATAATAATCAAGCAAGTCCACATATAAAATAATTCCTTAACCTTAGAGGATAAGGAAGCAATAACCTAGAATCCTAAAAGGACTTATGGTCGCCCCTCTCCTTGTCATTGAAGCACAAAGAAACTCTTTCCTTATAAATAGGAGGAAAGGTGTGGCAAAAAGGGATTTAAAAAAGAAAAGAAAAAATAAACCTAAAAAAGAAATTCAGCCAAAAAAAAAAAAAAAAGGAGTGGGAGATTTTAGCCGACCCTAAAAAATTACCTAGGGCACACGACCAAGAAAAACAATATAGGAGAAAATAGTTTTCTCCTAAACCTTAAAAAAAGGCCATACACTTTTTTCCCTTTTAAAGGTTATCGTAAAATTGCCCGGGATTGATTTCTACGGAAAATACTAAATCGGAAAAGGTGAAGCTAGCACCCCATTGATTTTGAGTGCTTCTTTATGGATACTTGGACTACATGGATCATCAATAAAGACTGGACAATTGGACAGACTTATCAAAGAAAAGGAATTTAGATCCGCGCTACAAGAGGTAATCCTTTACTTATAGCTTGTTATTCATGTATGTATGTTAGTAGATGTAACGACTTGATCTTGGAGTCTTAGATGAAGAAAACTTTCTTATTTATTCCGCACCTCCATAGGATCCATGATCCTTCAACAATAATTTATTGATTGGATGATTTTGCCAAAGTGTGAATATATTGATGCGATTTTTGCATGACTATGTAAAATGTGATGTTGTTAGGTACACTATGGTAAATATTTTGTTTTCTTGGATCGTGTACCTTGAATGAAATGTGATGGATGACATGTGAAAGGTAATGGAATGTTTTATGTATTTTTTTATTATTATGTTGAGGCATGCAATTTTATTACATAAATGCGCATTTATTTATGACATGCATTATAGTAATTCATAAGGATATGCATTTACATTTAAATGCATATGCATGTCATAATCATGAAAGGTTTTTCCTCATGATTTTTACAAAGGAAAAGAAAAAAGCTTATCGAGGGTTTAATTATCCCTAATATTTCTTCATCGAAGGAATTGGTAAAGGCCTCGATAGAAGAAAATGATAAAGGAAAAAGGTTATCGTGGGTTTAATTATCTTTGATATTTTTTCATCGAAAAAATTGGTAAAAGCCTCAATAGAAAAAAATAATAAAGGAAAAGAGGGCCGAATGTGTACACATGTGTGTATAATATACATTCGGTAGGGTACATATAAAAAAAAAAGGAAAGGGATTTCAAAAAGGACATGACAAATATTTTAAAATGCATTCACTTACATATGTGCATAACATGCATGACTAACTTGTCGAGCAATAGCTCACCCAATTCTTATGATGTAGGGGTGAAGAACAAAGAATAATGGTCATGTTTACGCTAGAGCTAGTTATTGAAGGAACTCTCCCGACGGTTTGTAAAGTGCATCTTACTTGTGGTTGCAAGTTAGACCTATCACATGGGGTTGTTTTGTTAGTCTTCGGTATTCTAGTATATGTACTTAGTATGGCTACTCTATTTTATATGATGATAAAAGTAATGAATAGGTAATCGGGGTTAGCTATTTATATACCATATAAAGAAAGTAGGCTTGTAAATAGGTAAAGCCACTTTTGGTGCATAGTATAATACTAAGCTAGTTATCATAAAAAGCCAACCAATTTTGGACATGCTAATCATGTAATAAAATAATAGTGTATAATTATAGTTTTTGTACATACTACAATGCTTGATAGATTTATTCTATCTTCCGGAAAAAGAACTTGACGAAACGAAGAGACACGGATTAATTTATTTCAATCTAAACTATTAAAATAAAATATTAAAACAAAAAAATTTTAATAATGTATTTTAGGCTAAAATTTGTAAGTTGAACCTATTAACTATTTAATGGACTTTCACAACAACAACCATAATTAATAATATAGTAAGAAAGACACAGTGCCTTATGTCTTATATTCACTATAAGGCATGATGGTAATATCCTTAACCTATTTAGATCCTAAATTAGTAGTGTTACGTTATATCAAAAGTGCATCCACTGCATGTGCACTTTGGTAGGGGAGAAATTGATTGTATTTCGTCCCATAAACTCTTGAGTTTTGTGTAGTACGAAGACACTGAGATTTTCTCTTATCAAAGAAGGGTTATTGCTCACCTTATTTCATAGGCTCTTGGTGCACTCCCTTTCCCGAATCTCTCTTCAAGATCAACCCAGATTTCTCGGACCGTTTGGCATATCCCATGCTACCTTTGACATCTTTGTCCATAGCACTCTTCAACCAGCCTTTGACCATGGTGTTACAACACATCCAATATGCCAAGTTTGATGACTTCGTCGCTGGAATCAGAATGATACCATCAACAAATCGAATTTTATCTTCGGCGAACAAGGCATTGCTCATGTCATTCACCCATTCATAATTTTCATCATGAAGGAGTTCACTGACATAGAGTTGCCTTGGATTATCCGAAGCATGTATGTAATACGGAGACATCACATCCACACTATTTGATTGACTGCAGCCGAAACAACCTTCAGCTTTTCATCTTTTGTATGACTAGACGTGATTTAGGTGGTGTAAACGAAGTGGCAGGTAGGTTATTCGTGCAGTGGGTTCTATGTACCAGATTAAGCTCTAATAACATGAAATATTTTATGCCGTTGTCGCTTTCTCATTACTGTTAAGCATATAAATACAGCAATTGATAGCTCTAGTTTAGGAAAAAATATACCAAACATGGAAGTTCAACTATCTAAGTTATAGCAGTAGCTATACATGGCAAATTAGCTACATATGTTAATATATAATATCGGCTCAATCAACAACTAGAGAAAAGTGGAGTAATCTTTGGTAATTTTGACCATTCCATCAGTCTTTGGTACTCTCCATGATCTACTTTTCATTAGGCTTCTTCATCTACTTTTGTTTACACGGTTTTGTCAAATATGGTCCCGTCAGATTGTTTTTCTGTCTTTTTGTGTGTGTGGGTCAAGTACATGTCGGCCACCATCCAGGTAGTTCATTTCCTTTTGTCCTATCATCTGTCTATTTTCTTTTGAGGCGCAGCGCCATGGAAACACCGTGTAACTGTACACACAGAGGCGCAGCACTATGGAAACACCGTGTAAACAAATCAAACTTCTTCATATATCTATCTATATAAGCTCATGTACTTGTAAAATAAAACATTCTTCTGATACCGAAGCAGCATAATGGAAACAGCATTTGTGTTAGATATTAAACTTCAATTGTGGCCTCAAACATTGCTTTACAAGTTCTTCTATGCAGTAGCTTACTGGGTCAATTATAACATCTACTTTTGCAAGGCCGCCTTCTTCATCTTAGGTACTCTCCATGATCTCCTTTTCACTAGCTTACCTAAATCCTGCAACTAATGAATTTGATTTACAGGCTTGGTTTTTAGCCATAAAGTTGTAGAAAATACAATGGAGTCTTCATTGATGGATTACCTTACTGATCTCGGGAAATCGGTCCCAGAAGCTGCAGTAATTGTGAATACTCAAGAGGGTTTGTCACTCATTTGCGCTCTTATCATTGCTCACTTTGCAGATACCTGCATCGGACGTTTTGATGTCGTACTTTATGCCACTTCTTCATATTTCTTTGTGAGTTTTCACTCATCAACACATATTCTGCTCTTCGTTAATTTTGTAATGATCTATAATTAATTAATTAATATTAAAGTAGTTTTGGTTTGTCATACTATTAAACAATAACTCTCTCTCTCCATAACTCCTTCATCTCACAAAGCATTACTTTTTCTGTGGTAGAATTTATCCAACATCCATTTTTTATGTCACTAAAAAAATGTTCAATTTATACAAAGGTGCAAATTAATCATTAAGATTATTGAAAAAAATTTCCTCGTGTAAACTAAAAAAAAAAAATCTGTATTTTTAAATTGCACCTTTCAGTTAGAACATTTTTTAAATATTACTCAGTAATTATTTCTTTAGAATAAAAAATAATTAAATGATAAAAATTACATGATGCATAAATGAATAAATAATTGAAATTTTTTACTGTGACTATTAATAATATTAAGAATTAAAACCATGTTATCATAGTTTCATGATATAAAGAAGATTAAACTATCAAAATTATCATAATTCGAACAAGCTGAAAGATGACTAGATTAAGGCACGGACCAACTTGTTTTCTTTAGATGGCATGCATCTTTTATAAAATTTATTTGATACAGCAAACTAATCATATATCACACGTTATCTCAAGGATATAATAATCCAACCATTTTTATTATAGCTTTATAAGTCTAAACTATTTATAAAGTGAGAAGTTCTCATATACCCTCACTTTACCCAAACAAATATGAAAATAAAATATCATTGATATTATAATTTTAGGTATCGTTTTGTTAGTAAGAATGAAAGATTAATACACTAGAAACATATGATCAATACATCAATTTTGAGGTGTAGTTCGATCAATGCATAAAACTTCATAAAACTTTGTAACTATTGGTCAGTTTTTGGATATAAATTCATGTTTAGTAGGTTATAAAAACTTATATAAACTTTTTTTATTTAAAATGTATGATAATGCTTCTACACACCATTCTCTCTTTAGTATTTCTTTCCCCACTTTATATAAAATCTTATTTCTCTCTCTTTGTTATTATTATTTTTTTTTTTTTGAAAAAAATATATATATCGTTCCTTCCTATTTTTAATTTTTTTTTTCTAAATCTTGTTTCGTATATAAAAATTGTTTCTTAAAATGCATATAAGAATGTAATTTCAAATATTCTCACTTGGAATTTTTTTTTTTTTTTTGCATTTTTGCTTAGTATATTATCCATTTTCATAAACTAGCTTCACAATCGTGCAATGTTTTGCATCATAAATACATAGATACCCACATAATATACTACTTCTACATAAATTGTTCATCATCATATAATATATAGTTTGACCACTTTAAGAAAAAAAAAGGAGTCTCGCCATCGTAAATATATTTGTATATATACATAACTATGTAAATAAATTCATCTTTACCAAAAGATTTGTATATACAAACATATACGTAAAGAAGAGATTCTATTTCGAAATCTCTTTAGGAAGGAAAGACTAGTATCAGTTGAACAATAATTCATTAACTCAAACAAAATTTTAAGAGCACAAAAATGGTATAAAACTTTAAATTGTTGCTAAAATCCAAGTGAAGCAAACACCAATAAAAAGGCCAAATTAAATATAACACAATTTAGCTAATCACCTCATTATTCTTATATAAAACTTCACTATTATTAGTAATAGAGTAGTTCAACTTCAAAAAGTTTATCCTATAAAAATAAACTTTTAAAGAACTACCTTACATTCACAAACTAAAAACTGTAATTATATCTAAGAATTTTTTTTTTTTTTTTTTTGGCGGGGGGAGGGGGGGGGGTGCGTGCGGAGACGATAAAAGTATTTTCAGGTGAAGTTGTGCGTTTAATGAGACTACGTGTCATCTCGAGCGATCTTAAGTATGTATTAATTATCTACACCGATCTAGTACATTCAAAAGAGTTTAATAAATTTTTTCGAATAGTGATTTCAAGATTTGAACCTAAAAATTAAGAAAGAAAACAAATATCTTAACTACCAAACGAACCTATTGAGGTTGCATCCGAAAAATAATTCTTCTCAAACAAAGCTACAAAAGAAAACCTCAGGAGCTCTCTGAAAAATCTTCACAGCTAAAAACATATGTTTTTGTGTTTGTATTGCATTTAGAGCATATGCATGCCACAATTATTTTATTCCTTCTGGAAAATGTTGTTTTAAGAATGAACCGAAAACCACAAAAGAATGAGTAAATCATCATTTGATTGTTTTAATGAAATAGTAAGTTAATCTCTTTGTTTAAAAGAAATACAGAATATCAAGTCCTTAAGTTTTTATATTTGATTAGAAAAAAAAACTTGGTCATTTTGGTGTTTTTCATCACAATTAATTTTTTTCCCTAAAATATCCTTCATGTATATTCAAAATTTTCAATATTTCCTGCTATAGATAAAATTAAAAGTGCATTCAAAAAAGATAATTTAGACATTTTAAAAATAATTGACAGTCAACTGCGATCAAGAAACTAATTTATTCCTTAAAAAGACATTGAGATTAACTTGCAAAATCATCAAAAACTCGTGGACTAAATTATAATTTACTCTAAAAGAATTGAGTTTTCCTTTTTCCTAAACAATATATTATATATATTGTGATAGAAAACTAAATTAAAATTCCTTAATTTTGTTCATAGGGATTGCTGATTTTGTGTCTTGCTAGCTGGTTTGCCTATAGGCCCAATACGCTGGGCCCCAGCATCAAGGCACCAATTATTGTGATCATGGTACTACTGGCAGTGGGCAAGGCAAGCAAAAATCCTCCTTTGAAAGCATTTCTAAGCGATCAATTGGTTGAGCATAAAACTTTCGTTTACAAGGACGATAGCCAAGTTGCTGCTCGTGTAAAAGTATGGTGGTTTCTTGCTTCGGTGTTGGGTTCCTTTGCATCTGTGATCATATCCGGAAGTTATCCCGAGCAAATCGGAATGCATATCGGAAGTTCCGAGCAAATGATTTTCATCATTCCAGCATTAGCAATGGGAGTCAGTTATTTCATCTTTTGGTCTGGCATCGGCTTTTACTACCGCGAAAACCCTACTGGAAGCCCTCTTACCATTGTTTATAGAGTTTTCAAGGCCTCTGTACTGAAGCTCCACCAGCGGTATCCTAATGATCCCAATGACTACTATGATAACCACAGTGATCAACTAGTCCTGTTTCCCGACATTCGAATCTTGAGGTTGGTGTCGCTCTATAATTAGTAGTTGAATGGTTTATTGATGCACCAGTGGTTCAAACAAAGTTGTTCGATAAGTTTACCTGAACGGTTTTATTTTAACTATGTAATATACATGCTCCTTTACCTTGAGCTCAAACACGATACCACTAAACGAAAGCCAAAGGTTATAACATGAGTTGAATGATTCTGATGTGGTCTGTGTAGGTGGTTGGACAAAGCTGCTATTTTAGAGTCTTCACCCCTCTTAGAAGAACAGGTACAAGGAGGAAGACTTTGCTCGGTAAGAGATGTGAAACGAGTAAAGCAACTATTGACTTCGATTCCCTTGTGGACAACACTCCTTGGATTTGGCCTGGTACTGGCAACAGGGAGCACTTTCTTTGTTAAGCAAAGTGACAACCTTGATGAAGTTGTGCCCATAAATGCTTTCTTTCTAATTCAGGATCTTGTAAGTTACGCGGCTCCATACCTCTACAACAAGTCAATAGCTAAGTGGTGGCATAAACCAATGCAACAAGCTATGCTTGTAAGAATTGGAGTTGGGATGGCGTTTTCTATACTGTGTTGCCTTTCAGCATGGCAGTATGAGCTTCACAGATTGAATTTAATACACATATATGGAAAAGATACAGCACTACCAATGAGCATTCTGTGGTTAGCTCCACAGTATATCTGTTTAGGAGTCGTGGAGGGACTCGTGAATGATGTTATTATGTTTAATTATCAGGACACTGATGAATGGATGGAACACTACGAATCACCATTCAAGGATTGTGGGCTTGGTTTTGGAAAGGTGCTGAGTGCTGTACTTGTTTCTATGTTCAGAGGCTGCTGGTTTAATGACACCATAAGCACAAGTCATCTGGACAGATATTTTCTACTCTTAGCTTGCCTAAGCTCCTTGAACCTGTGCTTTTATGGGTATGTTGCATGTAAGTACACATGCTCGGAAGCCCCGCCAGACCCAGATAAGAATTGCATGAACTTGGGGCTTGGTCCCGTTACAGGCTCGAAAGTTCCATTGTTCGAGCAATCACTCTCCTTCCCAGCCTCCAGCGCAGCTGCCAGTAGGGTAGTTCCTCTGGGCTCTCAAACATTGACTTGAACATTGACTATATTTGGAAGAAAAATATCCAAAGAAACTCTAGTTGTATTCGATTTCAACTTTAATTCTGACTACAGTAAGTTATAGGCTCTCAGTGACGAACTTTTTTGTGACTTCGTTACAGATTTTCAAGGAGAGGCTGTGCAAGAAAAGAGAGGCTATTGGCGCAGCCTCTTCCAATATCGGCACCCATTAGAGGAAGAGGCTGTGCAAAAATCACGAGGAAAATCTGAAACCCAAGAAAAAACAAATGAATAATGATGGTTATTCTAAACTATTCATTTGCTTTTCTTGGATCTTAGCTGAGATATTCTTGAATCAATTGTTATACATCCAACTTAAATCTTAAATCTTGTTATTGACTAGACAAGTCACGTAACACAATCTCCTTCTGAAATAATTGTGACAACTTTAAAGCAACTATATATATTTATATAAAAGCTTGTACAAGTGCGGTTCTTTTTTTCTTTTTGTTCTTTGGCGCTATCCCCAATAGGAATAAACTAAATTTTGTCTCTTTTATCATCGTGTGAGGTGAGCTCTGAAGGCTCTAACATTCCTGGATACAATCGATGGAAGAGAAGCTCGGACACATTGTTTTACACAACACACACTGGTTAAAGGCTTGAGCTTCATAACCCATGGCATTCTGAACCAATTTACATTTCTTCAATTCAAGCCATTGTATTTAACTGAAGGCAATACAAGCAAGAGGACCTCAGAATCTGCGCACCATGTCCACTACCAGTGGTGTGAATATTTGCGCTGGAGGTGTTCAAAATGTCCGACCCAAGTTGTTGAATGAGAATATAATGTTTGAATTGCCTAGGTATATTTTCTACAAAGGATGCATATGCAATCATACTGGTAACAATCAAGAACATTCTATGTAAAACGGAAATCCACTGCATCGCTTGTGAAAATGTCTTCTAAATCAATAATCATCATACGAGGAATGAGGACCAGCAGACATCCTGGATCAAAGGGATCTTGAGAGTCAGGAGTATTCATAGTTCCTCCAGTATGTACACTCTCTAACTTCCTCTGTGTCAAAAGAGCACGAATGATTTAGTTCATCAATCCTCGTGCTTTCAAAGATTTACATGAAGATATTAAATACAGCTGAGGTTGCTAACATAGTGGTTTTGAAGAAGCTTCTTCTATGTAAGCAATGGCTTCCTCTTCTGAGAGTTGTCCTCCTTCGACCAAGCCCTTCACTAAGGTATGGACATATTCTGTAGGAGGAGGGCGCATGGGGAACTCTCCACGTTTAAAGCTTTCAATATCAGAAATCTCACACCTGAATAGTCACAAAGAAGTGAAAAATGGTCAGCAAAATTCAGAAAAAAATGAAATTCAACAGCAAACAAAAAGTGTTTCAGTGTTTACGTCATAGTCAGTATAGGAATATCGCGCTCATTTCCCAAGTAAACAACATTATGGTACCAACCCCTCTGCATGAGAAAGAAAAATGAGAATTTTGGAAGCAAAACAAAACCCATGATGTAAGATGGTATTTTACTGTTGCCTGTTGCAGCCTGAAACAAACCTGCATAACAGATATGACATACCCTGAAAATCTCCAAAGAAAGGGAGCCTTTCTTTGTGATGGCCTTCAGTGCAGCCAAATCAAATACAGGTGAATTCATATTATAACTCGAAACATTTTCTTGAAGCAAAACATCATTGAACTGCTCTAGCCTGTGCAGAAAAGGGAAATAAGAAAAGAAGGAAAGCAAGCAAGTGAGAAGACAGAGTATAGTGGATAATGAAGAAACTCAAGCCAGTTGAATGACCCTATATCATTTTCATGAATTGTCTTTTTATTATACTGAATTTTCCAACAAAGACAAAGATTTTCTTCAAAACATCAAGAGGAAGAAATATTCATTAGATAATAAAATAAAAACCCACAGGAACATACGTTATTCTATACAGGCACAAGTAAGTTTTTTCATTGACACTACTTTCAGGATGAAGGAAAGCAACTCCTCCAGGACCCCATGTTCGTGTAGAATCACGACCAAAGAATAGTCTGTGAGGGAAAATTTTCCACGAAATCTCTTTTGGCGGGTTTCTGTCCATTGAACCAGAACATGCCTTCTTCATACCATCTACCTGAAAGTCATTTACAAAATAGAATTGATATATGCTAAAGCAGGTGGACTCTTTCAAATTTTCAGGATATTAATTGCAAGACTATAAAATGAGTGTCAATGGAGAGGACCAAAACCTAAGAAATGCTTTGAATCTGTTAAAATCATGTTCATTCAGTGTGGTAACATCATTATGATGCCAAGCATATTACCTGACCGCCTTCAATATAACATAGGAATCTAGGCTTCCACATATTTGATCCAAAAGATGCATACCAAATGTCAATCTTTGAAAGCTCAGATCTCCAAGGGGTAGAAGATGTAGCCAGTAGATCTGCATTTAGTTGACAACACGTAAACACATTAACGAATAATTCAACTTTGATGTCTTTTGGCTTCAAGTTATATCATTACCTCGACTATCTTCAACTTTCAGCTTTGAAAAGGGTTCCATGACCTCCTGAACAGCAGTCAACATATTTTCTGACACAATATTTGGAGCCTTGGTACCCTCATCTTCAGAGTCAGAGCTTGGGATAAGAACATGCTGGAATGAAAAATGATAATCTAAGCATGGTACACATGTAAAGAGTAAAGAAAACAACATTTCATCCAAAAATATTAAAATGAAAGCGAGAAGCAAAACATATATAACTTAAATGGGTAAATATAAAAAATTAAGATGAAAACCCTTTGCCTTCTAGAACTATTTTATGCATTAGACTTGGGCCTTACATCTAATAGTAATTCAGCACTGTTCCTTTAATTCCTTGTAACCGCACCCACCCCACCCCACCACCATCCCCCCCACACACACACACAATTCAAGTTTCTATTCAACCATAAAACAATTGTCCACTTTCCAATTTGACGAGACAAAGACTCGAAACATTTGCAAGACATAAGAATTTCCTTTTAAGAAAAGCCTTACCAGAGGAGAGGTGTTTTGACTAGTCAACTTTAATGGTATTTCATCTGCAAGTGCAGGCCAGTAGGCACTTAATTTCTTGCGAACCTGGGGAATAGATAATACATGTTTTAGTCAAATAGAAAATAGCTATGATGCATGTCGCTTGAGATGGACAAGAAAAATAACAGAAAGAAGCAAAATTGATACTGGTGGATGAATAAGATAATCTAGAGAAAAATTTAATTCAAAGAAGTTATTTTACCGCTTGTATCACACGCCATGTGGACTCAAATGGATATGCCTCTACAGACCCACTGACAGGTTTGTCTTCAAGCAGAACTTTCATGCATGCAAGGAATGAATTTGCTATAGACTCGAGGTTGTACCCTCCTTCTAATGCCAACACAATCTTACCTTGTGCAAAATCCATCAACTGAAAAGAAATATTAAAAAAATAAAAAAGAAAGAAGGAAAAAAGAAAAATGTTATGTTCTAAATTTCCTTGAGAGAAACAGAAAGTACAAGATCCTAGCATATAAGAATCAATCACCACCAATATAGGCAGTTCAAATAAAACCTAGAAAATTCAAACATAAAATTAAGTTTTCATGAAAGTAAAATCCTATCATATGCACCACCTTTCAAGCCAGAAGCCTTTACCCCAGAGTTGAAGAAACATCACCATGAAAATACCATACAAATTAAAATTTTTAAAAAAAAAAAAAAAAAAAGAGGTTAAATATTGCAGCAACCTTTTTCAACATTACTGAGTATCCATATGGAGTGAGATGACATCCACCAAGAGGATCACCAAGAGCTGTTGAAAGATATACAAGAACACTTATTAAGATTAAAAAAAAAAAGAAAAGAAAAAAAAATCACCATACAACAGAACATGATTTCTGTCTTATACATAAAATGCAAAGGAATGCCTAGAAATTTAACATAGGATAAGTAAAAGCAACCAAAAGAACATTTTAACGAATATAATGAATTACAAGATAGAATTAAGGATTGAATGTATTCTGAAGAGTTGCTTAGTCCTAAACATGTATTACTTGGCATAACTACACTGACATTAACAATCAACTGATATAAAATAGATTTGACAGGAGTAAAATTTTTCATCAAAATCATTACTTCCATTCCTGCTGTTATGAAGGCTTTGTTGAATTGAATTAGTTTCTGTCATAATTATTTGTCATCTCCATAATTTACGATGATCTACTAAGAAGAATGTGCGTATTCATGCATTATACATAATGGCTGAGCATCAGGTAGTCAAGGCTACTACACTTAACAGAGTTTTGACATGCATACAAAGTTAAATCTTCTGTGAACCACCTAAAACAAAATCATAATCAGAAAACAAAAGCAATAAGACCTCTCAAGTCTGAGTTGACGAATTACAAAAATCAGACCTGCATCAAATCCTGCAGATACTATAATCATGTCAGGATCAAATTTCTTTGCAACAGGAATTAAGATGTGATCCCAAACAGCGAGATAATCTGCATCCCCGCATCTTGCATGCTCCCAAGGGACATTTATATTATACCCTGTCCCTGGTCCTTCTCCAATCATAGTATAAAAGCCATCATCAGTCCCTGGGTAAAAACTACCAAACTCATGCCTGCATAAATTCACGATCCAGGTAATCATCATGGTTAGATACAAGTAATATTATTATTCATACCACACGGCAATTACAAATAGAGTTTTAACTTAAAACATCCCATAAAAAGAACAAAAGAAAAGAAATTATGACAAGCTAAAGCTTGATAATCACTTCCTAAAAAGCTACAGCTTCACATATCACTAATAGTCTGTGACAAGAACAAAAAATTACCTCTCAACAAATGCAAATGCTTCGAAGAAAAAAAAATCAGAATCAATAGATAAAGATCTAGGCAACATATTGCTAAGGTTATATTACCAAGTTGGGGCTTGTGATAAAAGGATGATGGAAGAGAAAATTATGAACTTAAATTTATATAGTACCTATGAACAGAGAAGAATAAGACCCGAGAATCATTCCAAAACATCTTTTGAGTACCATTGCCGTGATGAACATCCCAGTCAACAATCAAAATCTTTTTAACACCCAATTCTGGCTGTAATATTCCAAGGTAATAAGTATAAGATGATATGTTAAAAAAGACAGCATCTTAGTAAAAGTTTAAAATACAAAAAATATATCAGTAAACTAGATTAAAAGGATAAAAGAAAATTTGAACATTTGTAAAACCCAAAACCAAGTTCTCACTCTTTCATCTAGTAGAAAACTCGCTGCTACAGCCACATTATTGAATAGGCAAAAACCCATCGCCTCATTACATTCGGCATGATGTCCAGGAGGCCTAACAATAGCAACACCAGAATTCAAATCCCCTTTTGCAACTCTCTCAACAACCTAGTTGAAATTACATCCATAATTAGAAATAAACTTAACAGATAATATATTGTTCCCAACCTAGTCATAATTCATGATTTGATGAAGCAAAAACAGCTTCATATCCAGTATAGAAGTTGCAAGTTGCAAGCCAAATTTAAAGCAAAACAAGACATGATAGTCAAACTTCGAATGAATTCATACGGAACACATCATATGCTAAACTCACAATTATTGACTTTACAAGAGCTACATCAAATAGAAAAAACAAAATACAATCACCTGAAGTTGGACATTTAATTTCATAGAAATTTCTCTTATCGAACACATCATCTTGTGCGAAATTTTCAATAAAACTTTACAGTATTGAAAAATAAGAAGATAGAACATTGTAAACAAAAGAGAAGTATCCTAAATGCGCCTTAGAACTCATTGGGGTATACGTAATAATAATAAGAACAATAAAAGAAAATATACCTCTAAAACAGAACCGGCAGCTAGGTAAGCAGCTTCAGATGATCCCTCATTAAAGTAAATTGAATTGAGTTTCGAAGCAATCCCATCTCTTCGTGAATCAAACTCTTTGGAGCTTATATTTCTAATCAAGTTAACATGATTTTTAGAGTGAACAGCCATAACATGTTTATCTTCTGCTTTTTTCCCGTTCAAAACCACACACCTGAAAGATTCAGAGGTAATAACAACAATAATTCCAGTCACAAACCACTAAAAACATTTATCAAAAAAAAAAAAAAAAAGAGCCAAGCACACAGAGAAAAAGATAAAATAGGGAGTACCTTTGAGGAATGTTATTGGCTAAGAGCTTGTTCCAAATAACCCTAATGCGATTGGGATTCTCTGGATGATAATCACCATCAGGAGTATTATGCTTACACATCTTCTCATCATATATTATCCCCACGCGCCTTTCACTGCTCTTCATTTCACCGGATTCCTCCACCTCTCCCATACTTACCGATCTTACTCTATCTCTCTCTCTATCTCTTGATCGCTTCGTTAGAGAGGGAAAGAGACTCTTAAAATACCTTAGCATGTTCCGGAGGAGCTCACTTTGAGGGGTTTTGATTAGAAAAGGTTTTCAGCAAGGAAGAAAATGATGCACTGACCGGCAAGAAAAAGAAAGAACCGGGAGAACAGGTGAGACTTTTTTTTTTTGTTATTTTATTTTTTGGGATCTGTGGCCGTGAGGACGTGAATGGCAATGGGTGGAGAGAGATTATACTACAGTGACGTTGTTTTGCAATGCCGCCACTTCAACTTAAATTCAACGGCCCGTCCACACCGTTGGATGCGAATCTTTCAATCTCACCCATTCGATAAAACAACAAGACAATTCCTAAGGTTTTAGAATACCGGTCGCACCAGTTGTGCTGCTTGCTCGTTTATCCTTGGGAAACGGAAATCACAAACTTCTGATCAATTTTTTTTAACTTATTTTGAATTTCAAATCAAGCTTTTCTTCTTTTGTTGTGGAATGATACAAAGTAAATTATAAATTAATCCCTCTCTTTTTTAGAAATGAATTAGTAAATCCTTATAGATTTAAAAATTAATTATTTAATTTTTTATTTAGTGTTGATATGACTAATTTTCAAAATTTTTATTTTATAAAATATATTATTTTATTATCAATCTGTCCATATTTTTACTTATTTTTTTCTTTTTTCTTTTTTAAAAAATTAAAATAAAATAAAAATAGAAAAAAGAATTAAAAATTAGCTTTTAATAACAAGGAGAACTAATTAATTTGTCTCGAAACAGGAGGGACTAACTTGTAATATACTCGAATGATATATTATTGTTACAACTATTAAATTCAAATTTGAAGCAATGTTTTATAAGTTCTAAGAATTTTTATTTTTTTCTATTTTATTGATTATGGAACCATCACTTCAGATAAGTGAGTTTTTTTATATAAAAAAAAATTGACAATAATAAGATTAGAAAAAAATAATATTCGTATTTGATTAAAACTCAAATTAATACTTTCGGTTTTTTTGGTAGCGTATTATTTTCATTGCATGATTTACTCTTTTCATAAATAAAATTTAAAACTGCTAAATATATTAGATTTGTTACATAACCTATTAGTTTTATTATCTAATTTATTCACTTTATTGCGCAAAGTTTTTGTATTGCTACTTAAATTCTAGATTTTATTACATAAATCAACTTTTTGTTGCATAATTATTTATTTTACTGTGCAATTTATCAATTTTACATAAATAATAATTTCTCTTACTTCAATGGATTTTTTTCTCTATATGCAAATTAAGTGATGAATTTTTTTTACCTTTTCAACCAAATGTCAAGTCCAATAAAATGTTATTTTATTAATTAAGAAATAAAAATTCTGTGTAGAAAAACATCTAACCATTTGAATCTCACTCAATTAAAATGCAAATTTTAAAGAACTTGTGGGAATGCACTTGATTTTCATGTTCTTTCTTAGGCGTTTTCACCAATAGGATAGGAATACACTTTAGATATATATATACCCAGGAGTAGTAGAGCCATAATAGCTCACTTATAGAAGATGATATATATATATATATATCCAAGAGTAGTGGAGCCCTCATAGCTCACAGCTCACTTAAAGAAGATGATATATATATATCATCTTCTTTAAGTGAGCTACGAGGGCTCTACTACTCCTGGATACTACTGATGCAAGATAAGCCATTTCCATTTCTTTGATTCAAGCCATTGTATTTCAAGTCAAGGCAACAAAAGTCAGAGGACCTTAGAATTTGCGAACTATGTACATTACCAGTGGTGTGAATATTGGAGCTGTAGGAGTGTTTAAAGTCCTACCCAAGTTGTTGAATGAGAATACAATGTGTGGATTACCTCAGTATATATTCTCTATAAAGGACGAATGAAGAAGTATAGTTGAGCATGCATATGCAGTCATATTCGAAATAATCAAGAATGTAAAAAATCATCTGCATCGCTTGAGAAAACGTCTTCTACGTCAGTCATCATAGGAGGAATGAGGAGCAGCAGTGCATCCTGGATCAAAGGGATCTTCAGACCCACAGCAATGCCAATATTGAAAAACTTGGCCAGCATCAGGAGTATTCATAGTGCCTCCAGTATATACACTCTCAAACTTCCTCTTTGTTTCCCCTGGAAAAAGAAAGTAATTTGGAACAAGTTGACAATAACAGAAAATATGATTCAAGAGGTAAACAAAGCTTCAAGGAGATTATTCACTGAAAACGATAGAACTAAATTCTCTCCTTGCCAACAATCTGATGAAAAACTTGAAACATAGTTTGCCTATAATAATGTGAAAAATGTTGAAAATTATAACAGAAGCAATCGATGAGGAGGAGTCCTATGAACTTGTAACAGCATAAAATGACCATGCATGGAATCTCCCCATGCAAGGATTTAGGAGTAAGGTTTGGCTGGAAAGATTCAGAATGCTTACTCTTCTAATTATTTGTAATCAGGCTTCAGATGGGTTAAGGTTATTGCCCTGATGATAATTGTAAGGAATGAGGATACAATAAAGGGAGCGATCTCCTAATCATGATCTCGTTTTAAACGGTTTTCCTTTTTCACCCTCCAATAAACACAAAACCCTTTTAATCTCATGCTTTTTGCCACCTCCCCAATCCCCAACCCGACTCCACAATCTCATCTTTGAAGCAAAAAGAAGCCCAAAAGCAGATCTCAGAATTTACAGTGAAGGACATAGAGAATTAAGAGTTTTGATATTGGTATACCACATTTATGCAATAATGCAAAAGAAAAGCTCAGTTTGTTTCAAGTTTAATCACTTTTTTACAGTCAACAATTTACATTGTTCCATACTTGTGAACAATACAGAAAAGAATTTCAACAGCCCACTGGGTTTTAACTTTCTCATTCACAGATCTTCTAATGCAGCAAAATTACCAGATAGTTCGGCTCACATAATCTCAGAAAACTACCACATACCAGATAGTTCAGCTCATATAATCTCAGAAAAAAAAAATCTACTTCCACCTTTCAATTCTAATAACCATCACCATAATCATCCATCTGCAGTACTCCAACTCAATATACTGATCATAAAGTTGAACTCAATTATGACCCTCAAGGACTTGAAGGTTTGTTCATATTACAATGAGTATTGACAAATAATTTAACTCTTAATGTGCAACATTCAAGTTCCCAGCAACCCATTCATTTAACATGAATTACAATACCTCAGATGCCTGAAGATTATAGCATAGAAGCATCAGGTAGAGATTTAATAGAATAACCAAAAACAGAAGGCCCACAAGAACACATGGAAGGGAACCGTTGCCAGAATAGGATTGACTTGAAAGACAAAAACGATTCACTAAAATCCAATGACCAATAATTCTAGGCACTCTCAGATTATACTCAAGCTATTTACTATTACCTTCAATTGTAGCTTTTGGATATTAAGAAAATGGTTCTTCACAATCAATCAAAAAGCTTCAACTTTATCACCTCAAAGATCAATGCTTTTAAAGAATTGCCTTTACAATGAATCAATTTTCTTGAACTAGTCTCAATATTAGAATGTCATGCTTGTTCCTTTAACAGCCACAACAAAAAGACAATCAAGATTTTTTCTTCAAGCATCAATCTAGTCAAAATCAAAACACCCCACAATGCAGAAACTTCATTGAAAAATTAAAGCAAGTGAATAAGGGTACCTCCAAAATGGGCAGTGTGGAAGCGACAAGCTCGAGGGTGGTTAAGAAAAGGGTCAAACTGGGTTTTGCAGTTCTTGCATGTTCTGAGAGTTTGGTTGTTGTTCTGGTTTATTGAGCAATGAATTACAGGCAATCTGTGTGAACATGTGGTGGGTTTCTGGCGAGACTGAAGAGAAAAGGTTGTATTTTGGTGGAGAGAAGGTAAGGAAGGGAGCAAGGTATACTGGCTAATGGTGAAAGCCATATCCTTTCGTTCTTATCAGTTGCCTAACAAAAACAAGCCAAAAAAGACTCCTTCCCGTTGAAATGGCAAAAATGCAAAATTGATCGGTTGTTTGACAGGTCGATCGGATGCGCATCGAAATTCTTTTACAAATTTCTCTCTTAATCTTTTGCCCACGTTTCTACTTGGAGTCATATAATGCTTTTAAGGTAAACGTGAGATGTTTGAAATACTAACACATTAGGAAGGATTTCAACTTTGTATTATTGAGTATTCTAATAAAAGATAGTTATTTAGAATCTTTTCCGTAATAAAATAAAATCTTTATAGCTAAATATAGATTAGAAGTAGTTTCATGTAAATGTTGAGGCATTTGAAATAAGATTTTTTGAGAGATTTTTCATGTAATATACTTTGGACAATATTGATTATAATTGGGTAAAAAATAAAAAATTTATTATTATTGTTATTTGTGACAAACGAGACCCTTACAAAATTATTTTTAAATTCTATTATTTTACTTTCATTCATCTTGTCATTAAAGATGAATGAAAGAGAATCAACAAAGTTTAGATATTTTTTAATTGTAGCATAATACTATTACATAATAAATCTAATTTCTACATAAAAATGATTTTTGCTTACTTTAGTTGTTGGAGGAAAAATGTTGTCATGTTTTTTTATGATGTAAAAGAATTTTTTAACTTATAATTCTATTTTTTTTTCAAGTAATGATCAAATAAATAAAGTGGAGTAATTATTTAAGATTTTTTTTTTATCTATTAAGAACTTTTTGTTTATCAAGGATTTTGACAATTATATATAGTTGAAAAAAATATGTAATTAGTGCAAAAAAACACAAAGATTGAGATGGTTTTAAGGGTTGGGAATTAGATGGTAAATGTACAACGGGATTTAGAATTGGATTTTAGGTTAAAAAATCATAATTATATTTTTATACTAATTTTTTCTTATGGGTTTGTAGGATACGTAGATTTTTATTAAATCATATTAAATTTTATGTGTTCAATTTGTATTCATTTTTGTTATCTTTATTTTTAATTAAATTGAATTGTTTATAATAATGCATTTAATATCTGAGTCTTTAAGTTTTTTAATAAAACATTCATCATTTCTTAAATTGTTTGAAAATTTTGAACAGATATAATCTGTAGATATTAATAACAAGCCACGAATTTCTGGTGATTTTGACTCCAAGGTTTTCAATAACAATAATTGCGATAATTAAAAGAAAAGGATCATTTCTATACATATTAAACAAAATCGGCAAAAAGGGTTGCATGGCTTGATCCAATGAAATAAACGGGTGGGCTGTTTGACAGGTCGGTTGTTGATATTCTTATGATGGCCCATGTGGGCATGCATTAATTAAAAATCTGCATCCTAAGAAACTGGACTCGAAAACTAAATAAAGAGAAAAGGTAGACAGGTCTGAGTGAAAAAAAAAAAAAAAAAAGAAAAAGATACCGATTTCATTAAAACACAACAGAAAACACAAAAACCACTTTCATCTTCTCTTCCCATTACAACCTCAATCAATTAAGGTATTTATGCGTGTGGCATTTTTCCTTGTAATAATTTAGAACAGATCAAGAAAAAACCATTGGTTTGTTGCACCAGTCAATTATTTTCCTCTTTTGATTGGTTCTTCTATGTGTATTTGATGTTATTACCAACAGATAACCAAAACCCCCAGAATTTAAATGTTCAAAAAATTTGATCTTTTAAGCTTTAACTTGAAAAAGTTTGCATCTTTTATAAAAAAAAAAAAAGTTTGCACTTTTTTCCATCTGAGTATTGTTGAATTCTAATATATTATTTGTAACTTATTCACTGCTAGGCCAACAGGGTCTAACAGCTTGCATTGTATGATTGTTGCAAAGGAGTAATCATCATTTGTTGTATTTGACTGATGATTGAAGTCTCTGTGCAATCCGATACATTCAAAACAATCGCATCAACTGTTTTGCAATTGCTGAATGGTACTCTAGACTCTAGAGGGGGTGACATTAGCTTTGGATTTTCCATCTTCAAGAGCTGTAGTTTTGGTTTTCATATTGGAGGTAAATTTTAATCTCTTTTTGAACTCATGATAGTTATAATTGTATATTTGTAACTGGTAATATTTTAGTAAAAGTATGTTTATATTGGCTTTTTAGTTAAATGGCATCTTTTTGGGGAGGCTCTTCTTTAGTCGTCATTCTGTTTTTACTTCACCAGAAAAGTTATAAGCCTATTGAGACCCTCTTTTTTTTTTTTTTTTGCCTTTTTCGTTTTGGTCTTATGAATTCAATAGAATTACATTTTAGCACTTCTCTTGTGTTGTTTTAGTGGCTTGCCGAAGGATACATTTACATATACTTGAGAGAGATGAAAAGATACTGTCAACTTATTAGGACCATAAACATACCAACATTTAGGGCCTTTATTTTGGATTCAGGAAGTTTCTGAGGGCGAACATCTTCTGTTGGATAAAAATTATTGATGTCCTGTGTTGTTGTGTTTGGGATGTTTGAATCAATGTCTTCTGATCTAGGGTATTAACTGTTAAGAGCATTTTAGTTGCTCTTTTAGAAGCCAAGTGGGAAATGGATGAGGAAGGAAATTAAGAGAAGTCTGACAATCAAGTAATAGAATTGTGTCCAAGTTTTAAGAAAAAGAGTTCCAGCATACTTCTATAATTCTGAATTTTTTGGTTTCTGCCTTTTTTTTTATACCTAATGAACATAGGAATGAGAAATTGTAATCAAGTTATCATCTATAATGTATCTGTCCTTAGTTGCCATGAACACCTACTTAGTAGTCCATGGGGAATGCCAATATTTATGCATCCTTCTAAACTGCCTTAGCTGCTGCTTGCGTGTCAATTTCTGGTGTCCTGTCCTTAAGTCTAAGTATAAGGTTTTTATTGGTACATGATATTCTGCTTGTTTGATTTAAATTTGTTCTCTTTACTTGTTTATACTTGCTAATATATCTGTTACAGCAGTATTTCTGCAATTACTCTAAATTGTGTCAAGTTGTGCCAACATAGTATTATAGAAAAACGTCTTTTGGCTGTAGGAAATAGATGAGCTATTGATGAGTGGGTTCAAGAACCCCTTATCCCTCCCTTTACAGAAGAGATGCGATATGAGCCACCAATATTGGAAAGCTGAGCACGCTTCTCTTCTATCTACAAGTTTGTCTGATTCTTGTCAGCTCCTGTCAAAAGTATCCTTCTACTTGCATGTATAATTCTTATTTTGTCTGTTCATTTAAGCCATTTATTTCATTTATTAAATTATTGGTCTTTTGCACACTAAGAAATTTCTGTTTTGATTCCCTATCCGACTTCATTCTGTAGACCAATAATCTGAATGGTTCTTCTGAAGAAACCCCTATTCATGTACTCCTTTTATGCAGTGCTGAAGGGCCACATAATGTAATCAATGGCGAAAATGTTATGAACTTTGCTTCAGCTAATTATTTTGGTCTAATTGGAGATGAGAACTAACATTAGTCCCTATGGCATTTTCTTTTACTATTTACAATAACGGTTCTCATAATGTAATGTGCATAACTAAGCTTTTATCTCAGGAGGCATGTATTTTTTTCTTTGGAAAAATATGGCGTTGGTTCCTGCGGTCTTCGTGCGTTCTATGGAACAATTGGTGAGACTCAATTTGTACTGAATTTCAAATAGGTTAAGATTTATTTCTACTTTTTATCATAAAATATTTACCATATAACATTTTTTCTTTTCCTTAGATGTCCACCTTGATTGTGAGACCAAAGTAGCTAAGTTTTGGAAACTCCAGATTCATTTCTCTATTCATATGGACTTTCCACTATGTTTAGCACAATTCCATATTTTTGCAAAAAAAGGAGACATCATTGTTGTGTGAGTATGCTAGTCCTTGACTGTTAAGATTTCATTTATCCGTGTACCTGTACCATGGAAATCAGTTAGCTCGATATTTGGATAACATGATAAATCTTGTATATTTTCTGTTTTTTTTTTTTTTTTTTTTTTTTTTTTTTTGTGCCATAATTTAGACAACCAAACAAAACTTCTCAGTTCTCTCATCCTTGATTGTGTATTTTTAATTTATTTGTTTTTAATATGTATGTATCTGGTAACTGTAGTTTTTCTCTTTTTTGGCATTGTTGTCCGCATACCTTACAACTTTTTGGTTCATTTGTGGAAGTTTTTATTCTAAAAGAGTTTGCATAAACGATATCTCTATGTAAAATTGATTCTTAATTGTTCTTATTCTTGTCCTTTAGAGATGGGGGAGTCCACTGGAGAAGACAAAATGGCCTTCATCTTTCTAGAAGTACCATTGTTTATTTCAAGCACACTGAGATGGAATCCCTGAGAAATTAATTGGAGAAAATTACTGCAGAGAATAAGCAGGCTCAGAAAATGCGACATTACATCTTGGTTGAAGGTGTATGCCAGGTTTCTTGTTTTTTTATTGCATGTATTTAAATTCATATTTCTACATTTGAGCAGTAAAAGAAAGAAATTTGTAAGTCCTTGCAGAAAGTGGGTATTGATCATGAAGAGCATAAGAAAGCTGACTTATGCATATGGATTACTCTGTTTTATTCAACTCAGGTGCCATGCAGTTTCGAAGAAGCAGTGGTATTCCTCTATAACTTTCTCTCTGGTATTTTTGTTGTTTGGAATAATTGAAAGAAGAATCGAATAGTTGCATGGAGAAACTGAGGATTACTGATATCCCATACCAAGATTGCATTGAAACCTGAGATTAATAAGGAGCCTGGAAGGTGGATATACCTCACAATATTGTATTTGTTTTAAAAAAGTTAAACTGAAAATCATTGGAATAATGCAGCTCCCCTATAGACATAACTGGGATGCTTAAAAACCTGAATGATAGAGGATGGTAGTTTCTTTCACTTTGTTGTTCATTTTCATTGATCAAGGAAGAGGGCAACATGGTTTTGCCTTTTTCTTTTTGACTTTTCTTTTATGTCCATCCCACTATTCACAAACCCCTGCTCCGTCATTCTCTGCACGGGCACCTAAATCACTGACTGTTATTACGCTATATATTCCACAACAGCTGTTCAAAAGTCATGTGAAATTTGAAAATGTGTTTTGTCTTTGCTTTGCTGGATTTGCCGAATTTAAAATATGCATAGTAACCAAGTAACCCCTGCCCCCACACCCAACATTTAACATGTACTTGTTAATGGAACTGGTAGTCATCTATTTGCTCTGCCACTGAGATTGGTTCTTTTTTCCTGAAACTTGCAGAATTCTGGTCAAATAACCCTTTAAACAAGATCATAAGATTGAAGGAGAATATCGCTTCCATGTTTTGTTGAATGAAAACAACTTATTTGGCATGCTTGGCAAGTCCGGACGAGGTCTCACTGAATACCATGCGGTTCCGGTATGTGTTTTAAATATATATTTCTTTCTTGTTACTGACTTAAACTTTGTAATTTATATTGTGTGGTCTTGCAGATTGAGAAGATAGATATTGTTACTGCAGATATGGGCCATGTATTAGCCACTGAAGGAGGATTCTGCACAGGAAGTGCTAGAGTCGTTGATCATCAAGTATGAATACTTGTCTAATAACTTAATCATTTTGTTGAAATTTAGATAACTCATCAGATCTGTTATCACCATTGTATTGGCAAGAGGTTTTGGTAGTGATAATTCTTATATCTCTTCCAATTATGAAGTGCTAATGTTTAGTATTTGCTGATCTTTGGCAGCGTTGAGCATTTCCGGATATCTGTTTCTGCTTCTTTCCACCGTATCGTGCTGCAATTACTGCTTTGATGTCCTGGAGGATGATCCTGCTTTAATAAGAAAAATGAAAAAAACATTGCTCTATTATGGAAAGGTCGGTTCTGATTGCATTGCTCTGTCATCACTCTCATGTTTTCCCCTTTTCTTATATTTCCTTATCAACAAAGTGAGACTCGTGGTTTATTGGAATTGATATGGTACCATTCTGTCTTTCAAGTGGACAGAAGTGATTACCCAGTGCCTTTGTCTTACTTTGTAATGACTTTCTAGTAAGAGCAAATGCTATTTTTTATCTGTTTGTTTACTATAATCTCTCGTGCTTTTCCTGTGGTTGAATGAGTCTGAAATGTATCTGTATAGTCTCGTGGAACTGTGTCATATTTCTTTATGCTGAATGAAAACAAATATAAATCATTTGTTATGTGAGGCTTTGTGGAATTTAAAGTTAGAATCTCATGCTTTTATTCTAGGAAGCATATGCTCCATTTCCTGGAGAAGCCATTAAGTTTCGTCGGAAGAAATATCTAATCTTAGGTGTCTGGTTCTAGTATTCCAGATGTTTGTTTGGAGTTTGAGGTCTTGTTGTCAGACAAACCTTTTGTGTGTGCGTGTGTGTGTGTCATTCTACATGTCATCATTTTTGCATAGCTTGTGTTAATTTTTCTATTCTAAATATATTTGATGACTGCAGGATTGTCCAACATACAAGGTCTCTCTACTGCAAGTGATCCTGAATCACCTATTGTTTTCTGAAACTGGAGAAGTCCACAGGTTCGACTTAAGAAGAAATTCAACTCCTTGAAGCTATTGCATATGGGGTAAGGCAGAAGGGGAAGGACAGTCAGACAGAACTCGACTTGTTCAGTCCAGCGGATAGAGAAAAGGCTATCCTCGATTCTTTCTCCAAGTCTGAACCAGAATTAGTTTGCTTTCATTATAACCACACACTGCTTGTTCGGTCTTGGACTTATTCTGGTCCTTAATTGTTATTATTTTTGCAGGCATTGAAGGAAGACTGTATTTGTCATAACTGAAGAAATCAATGTTCGATAAATGCCATTTGTCTGTAGGAATCAGATTATTTGTATCTGCTGCCATTCAAATTCTGATCTACTCAGCGCATGTGAATCCTTGAAGAGGGTTTAGCATTAGTGCTGATGGATCATAATTGAGTGCTGTAATTCTGATTGATTTCTTTTCCCCACAACATCCATACTGGCCTGCATCAGATTTTTTATGTGGCAACCATCCAACAGATACTTTTCAGATTCAGGCCATGAAAGAATTTTAGTGAGAGGCTAGGGGATGCTGATAGTTTATGAAATTCTCATCTTGTTAATTATTTCGAGTAGCAATTTTTTGGTCATAATTTTAACATCAGCAAGGTTAGTAGGTTTTAGTCATAGAATTGGTTCCATTATTACTGAGCTTGATAACGAACAGTTGTTTAAACATTATCAGATTGTATGGATTGTTCCAAGCAAGGGATTTGAAATTTTTTGAACGTTATGTACTCCACTTTCAGTTCCATATCATTTTTTCATCATTAATTAGAAAGAACATATCTGGTGTTGCCACTGTTTATATTCATGACACAGGATCCATTTTTTGAACACATCAGCCAGAAAGTGAGTACCTGAATTCCTGGATTTGGCAAAATTGAACATGTTATGATTAGGTTATCGGTGCTTTAGTTGCCTCATTTCCTCTCTTTTATCCAGCTTTTCCGTGAGGTCTACAATAAATCAGCAATTGAGCGAGCTCAAGCTTGTCTTCCGCTTAGAACCAGCATGAATTCTCATTGAAACAAGCCAGCATTTATCAGAAAGATATTGAAGAAAATAAGCAAATTTCAGGAAAAGAGTAATTCATTTCATTTGAAAATACGATAGTACAATTTTGAGGTCATTAGCCCTTTGCCTAACTGAGTAATTGTAATTTGGACGGATATACATGATACAGTTTTAAACCAAAGAAACATAGCATGTCCATCACACCTCAATATCTTCAAGGTCTGGCAAAGGAAATCGAAGAATCGCAGCGATGCCGGAATACATTGCCAACTGCTCTCCTGAAACGTGCATTGATGAAAATACATGAGCAGTGGCCCCTGAATCCTTCACTGATTTAACCAGATGGGCAAACTTTCTCCTCGTTGGTATGTCAGCATTCCTGAAAAGATCATCTGCGATGAGAAGCGTTTGTATAGCCATATATTCTTCTTGTGCAACCTCCACGTGCTTCGGTCCATAGCATGCTCGAGCAGAATCATTCAAAAGCATGTCTGAGAAATCTTTGAGGGCTCGGATCTCTTGTGCTGCTTTAGTGTCTTTAATCAAGTTCATGACATCCGGAGCATCAAGAACTTCTTTCAAAGAATGCTTGTTTCCCGAGCTTGTTTGCGCAAGAACAACGCGTGACTTATTCTTAATAATCAACTTCAATTCTGATCTCCTCTCCGCCTCCAGTAATAAGTAACGATGAAACTGATCTTTCATATCCCCGGGACTTGCAATCACGGCACAGCGAACCACATTAAAATCAACATGTTTCATAAAAGCCTTCAACACATGCTCGAAGAACCTATTCAATGCCGTAACCCCATTCTTTCCTCGCGGAATCGAAGCTTCAATCCGGGCTCGAGCAGTAGTCATGCTTCTCCCGACAAGAAAGATATGTGCTAATCCTTCTTGCATCAAAACAACAGCAAGATCGGCAGCGCCTGAAGCAGAATCAGAAGCAGCCTGATTGATCACATCTAATGCCACTGCATCCCAGTGCTCCTTAGTTAAAATAAAGGGTTGATTCAGCTCAAGTTCTAAAGTATGAAACGCTCCAATCTTTACATAGTCATTCTCTAACTCATTCTTTCCACGAATTCGCAAGACTGATGCTTCTTTATCATAATCTACCGCCTCAACATTGATTTCCAACTTCAGCTTAACGTGCTCCAAACTTTTTCCACCCCGACCGGCTTTCGAAACTTTCCTGACGGTATTAGCCATAACAGCATCTCCAGGAACAATCAAATTGTAGAGAACCCACCAATCGTCCAAATCAATGGCTTCTAATTTAATGCTACCAGAACCATCTGCTTCAAAACTCCTCTTCCTGATCTTCATGATGACAAGAAACAAGAGATATTCTTGTTATAATTAAACAGAAAAGAGAAACAATGCAAAAGAAAATTTACTTGCACAAAGTACTAATTAGAAAACCAAGGATTAGGGCCTCTGTGTGTGCTTTTATAGCACAATATCCTAAACTGGATAGGATACGTGATGTTTCCTGAATTTGGATTACTTGTCATCCAAGTAATCAATAAGGATCGTTCTAAGCAAAAAAATAATAATAAATAAATAAATAAAGGATAAAATCGATGTGTTATAATAACGAATATATAGGGCACGCCACAAAATTCCCATGCTGCCAAGGGCGCCAACAAGTTTTGCTTCAATACTTAACTGGCTAGATTAAATTGCAACACGTACGATACTCGGCTTCACAAATTATCATTTTATTTATTATTTATTTATTATTATTATTATTATTATTATTTGGAGATAACCACAAATGACAATATTAATAATTACTTACTGGCCATGTATATGAGAGCATTGGTTATAAGAGTATCTTTAAGGGATATTGTTTTCTGTAATAGGAAAGATAGATTAAAAAAAGAAAAATATTCCAGTATTCTTTTATCATTTGAGTCAATTACACAAAAAAAAAAAAAGTATTAGACAATTATGCATATCTCCATTCCTAAACATCATTTAATTAGTACGTAATACATGATTAGATATATCTACAGAAGTTTTTCAAAATCCAAAAGTAATGCGTACGTAAAGCAAGAAATTATAGAAAATGTAACAATATCCTCATTACTAAATTAATGGAAAATTTCAAAATAAAATTAAGAAAATTTAATGATTGATCGAAAAGAGAATTCTTTGGTGCTTAGACAAAGTGATACTCTAAATCACCTTTTGATTTGTCCGTTGCTCTAATTAAAAGTATGAATAAAGATATTGCTGTATTGGAAACTTCGAAATATCAGCAAGATTAATTACTTCACGTATGTGACAGTCCAAATTCTCCTCGATTTTACTAATGCAATTCACGCGTTCAAAATCATGACTCGTTCAATTTTATTAATTGTAACTTGTAATTAAAAGTTCTCTTCACCTGACAATTCAATACAGCTTTGCAGATATCAAAAAGATTTTTTTTTTTTTGGTTAAATATCAATAAAACAAAAACTGAAAAAGTATTCCACCTGGTAATGCGACCCATTTAATTCAAAACATTCCATGTACGGATCCTAGTAATACTAACCTAGTCAGATAAATTCAATTACTACTGCAATGTTCTTGAAAAGTTCGAACTATTTATGTTTATCAAGAGACAAATTGTTGTACAAATTGGTTGACAAATCATATTTTCTTACTGTCACTAGGTTTGCATCGAGTCTCAAGTATTTTGTGATTATTTTAAAATATATATGAAATTAGTTTTTTTTTTTTTCATTTATGTATTGTGTGATTTTTTCAAGAGTTTTTCTATAAACTCTCCATTCAATCATAAAAAAAAAAAAAAAAAATGGTTTAATGGCAATTTTTGCTCCCAATCTATTACGATTTGACAATTTTGAGCACATAGTACCAAATCGTGTAAGTTGGTACCATGGGCTCAAAATTACCAAATCGCAACAGATTAGGGGGCAAAAATTATCATTAAACCATAAAAAAAAAAAAATTGAACAAAGTTTGTTGCATCTTTTATCAATTTATGAACACCTCAACGTGTCACTTATTGAATTTTGTGATGGAGAGAAAACAAGAGAAGAGTTTGGATGAAGATTTACTTCTTGATTGATTCAATTTACATAAAAAGAAAAATACAAATTCTTTTCTTTTTTAATATCGAGTACTCGTTAAGTTAGCTAGCTAATTAACTAACTAAGATTACTAACTAATCCAGATCTCATTTAAGACTAACCTTACAACTAACTCATAACTAATTGATGACTAATCTTGCCACATAATACATACTACAACTCTTGTATATTCCGATACTTTCTCTCAAGATGAGTATGAATATTATTTAGAATAATCTTGTCAAGCAAACAATGGAAGACTCTAGGCCGTAAAATCTTGGTAAAAGCATCAGCAAGCCAAGACCTTTTCTTTGATGAAATGGCACATCAATGGAAATATAATGAGGCTTAATGAGACCGATCAAGACCTTTTTTCGATAAAATGGCAATTCACCTCAATATGTTTAGTCCTCTCATAGTATATTAGATCTTGCAAATATGCAAGGTGGATTGATTATCACAAAATAATTATACTTGGTTTAAAATGTTTGATTCCCAAATCCTGCAATAAGAATAAGAGCAACATGATTTCATAAGTAACGGTTGTCATAACCCTTTTCTCTACCTCTATGTCGCTTCTTACCACTAAACTTTGCTTCTTCTACTTTCAATCGATTAAGGAATTACCAAGATATGTATAAAAACCAAAAACTAATTTTTTAGTTTCGGGATATCCAACCTAGTCAATGTCTAAAAAAGACTTTAATTATAATACCGATGTAGTTGGAAACAACAACCCTTATCTAGGTGCATTCTTCAAATAATGAAGTACCTTGTGAGCAACCTTCGGATGTACCAACGTTGGTTTGTCTAGAAATTGAGCAAGTACTTACACCGCATAAAAAATATAGGCTTACTAAAAGTCAAATATAGAAGTTTTCCTATTAATTGTCTATATTTAGTAGAATTAATAAGAAGATTCTCTTAAATATGCAATAATTTCTCCTTGGCATTCATGGGAGTAAAGGCAAACAATCAATCAAAAAAATCAAATTCATTATACAAATCCAAAACATACTTCCTTTGCGTGACTACAATTTCTTATTATGATCTAGCCACTTCAATCCTTATGAAGTATTTGAGCTGGTCAAGATCCTTGAGTTTAAATTTCATGTCGAGGAAGTTCTTAAGATTACCTATATCAATTATTAAACTACCACCTATTTATAATGTCATCTACATAAACCAATAAGGCAAGAGAATTCCGTGAAGAAGTATGCATTATGAATAAGGAATAATATGTCTTGCATTACCGAAAACCATACTCAACCAAAACTATAGTAAAATTTGCTTCTAATGTTTGAAAGCTTGTTTCAGAATGTATAGAGACTTATACAATTTATAAACCAATTTGTGTGAACTATCAATGTGCAAATACTCTCTGTAGGCCGATATCCGGATGGAAGATCTATATAATCTATTTTCTCAAGATCACCATGAAGTAAAGCATTGTTAATGTCCAATTGAGAAAGAGACCACCCTTGAATGGCGAGTTAAGGCTAAAAACAACCTTACCGTGGTATGCTTTGCAACATGATTAAAAGTTTCATGATAGTCAAAACCCTCAATCTGATTTTACCCTTTAGCCACAAGTCGTGTCTTATATCTTTCTATACTACTCGTCGACCTTGAGTTCAACTTTATAAACTCATTTACAACCCATTGTATGATGACCTATACGCAAATGAACCACGTACTAAGTATTAATTGTTTTCTTCAAGAGCTAATAACTTAAAATTCATAGCTTCTTTCGAGGTTTCATAACTTAATAATAGGTTTTAGTTTCAAATTAATATGATAAAGAAATGGTAAAGACTAGATGAAAATGAGATAAATGAGAAGTGAAAAAATATTGATGAATAGGATAAGGAGTAGAATACACAAGATTATTATGAGGAATAGAAGACTTATTACGCAAAGGATGATTATAAGGTTCTAAATATAGGAATTTCAGTAGATCTTGTGGATTTTTTTAAAGGAATTAAAGAGGAAACATGTCCATGAATAGAAGAATCTACAAGAATGGATGGATTAAAAGTAGTAGAATAGGTAAAAAAGATTTAGGAGTAACAAGAGAATGAGATTCATTAGAAACAGGAAAAGGAGACTCAAGAATAACATTGAAAGAAGTATCTTTATCCGTATGAAAAGATTTAAACTCGATGGAAAAAATAGAATAAGTAGGATGAATGCTAGCAAAATCAAACAAATTGGATGCGAAAGAGAAGGACATATTGAAAACAGATTATTAGTAAAAGATAGAGAAGAGGAATTAAAGAAAGAAAAGGGAAATATAGACTTATGAAATATGACATCCCTTGAAACAAAAACCTTATGAGAAGCAAGATCATAAAACTTATACCCTTTAATTCCATGAGGATAACCAATAAAGATATAAGAAGAAGCTTTTGGATGAAACTTCTTTTGATTATGAGCAAGAGTAGAAACAAAGCACAAAGACCTAAATACCTTTAGATGATCATAGGGTGGTATGCGTTTCAATAAAAGTTCATAAGGAGTTGAATTATTCAATAGATGAGAAGGAATTTTGTTGATCAAATACGCAACGAGTAAGAATTACATCCGTCGAAAATTTTAAAAGTAGAGTCGCTTGGAAAAGGAGAGACTTGGCTATGTTTAGCAAGTGTTGATATTTTCTCTCAACAACTACATTTTGTTGAGGAGTGCCTACACATGATTTTTTTATGAATGATACCTTTAAAAGCATAAAAAAGGGGAAGATGAAACTCAAGACATTATCAAAATTTTATTTGCTTGATAAAAGAGTTAAATTGAGTAAAAACCATTTGGTAAAATGAAGGAATTATAGATAGGAAATCCGACTTGTGTTTGAATAAGAAAATTCATGTGACTCTAGTAAAATCATCTACTACGGTAAAAAAAAAATAATAATGAAAATCACCAAGAGAAGGAACAAGATATGGTCCTCAAATATTTATATGAACCAATTCGAAAGGGAAAATTGATTTTCTTTTAATGAATAAGAAAAGATAATCTCCTTTGTTTTGCTAATGGACAAACAAAATAAAGAGAACTATTATTACTATGAACACCGACGCATCAGTTTGATTCTATCAAAGAAAATTTGACCTAGTATATAATGCCACAAATCGAAAGAGAATGATCCACTACTTTATTTGTAAATGTTTAAACATTACAGGACTATTTGATATAATGAGGGTGACAAACTTGGATTGACTAAAACAAAAAACAATCTTGATT